TTGAGATATTCACATAGGTTCTCCTGGCACAAAATAAGAATTTAATAATTGTTTGATGAATTGAAGGTTAGAACAATGTAAATCCACTTGTACAACTCAGGAGACGTATCCTAACAATGATATAACAATAACAGAGCTAATATATGTAAATGCACCCTTTAATATTATGCTATTCAACTATTACTTCCATACACAGAAATGTTTTCACCCTTAGTTCTCATCTCTCACTCAGGTTGGCCATGCTACTTGACAGTTTCACATGCTATCTGCTTTGTTGCCAGGACTTCATGAATTAACTTTCACTGGGAACCCCAGAGGCTCTAAGGTCCAAAGTTTGTGACTGATGGTGCCAGTCCTTCAGGAGGAAAAGAATAAGATAATGGGCATATGTTTCCCCTGAAGGTAGTAATAAAGCCCAATAGCAAAGACTTCAGAGAACGAGGATTCCCACTTTGAGGTAGGTAATATTTTGGAGGGACCACGGATTTTGTAATAAAGGCTTTCTCAGAGACAAAGCCCCACAGGTTCAGATGGAATGTCCTGGTGAGTACCTTACACTATAGTTCCCCACTCCACGTTCACATTGTGAAATAGCAATTAACTCTGTAATGCTAATGATCATGACATTGTGAGATGCAGGCCTGAGGGAGCTAGCTTAAAGAGCACTGAAGTTTGACCTAGGCTCTCAAGACTGTAATAGCTCAGGGGAGGGGTACTATTCTCTACCACTCAATTTCTATGGTCTGCTCTAAGGTCTAGAAGTCAGCTTCTCAGTGAGAGTAAGGGGAGTAAGGGCAGTGTTGGCAAGAGGAAGTATAAAAGAATGGTTTTCAGCCTGGCTGGTGTTGTTCAGTGGTTGAGCATTGACCCATGAATCAATAAGCCACTGATTCCATTCCCTATCAGGGCACATGCCCGGGTTGTGGGTTTGATCCCTGGTGAGGGGGCATGCAGGAGGCAGCCGATCAATGTTTCTTCCTCATCAATGTTTCTTTTTCTTTACCCCTCTCCTTCTTCCATCTAAAATCAATAAAGACATATTTTTAAAATATTTTTATTGATTTCAGAGAAGAAGGAAGAGGGAGAGAGATAGAAACATCAATGATGTGAGAGAATCATTGATCGGTTGCCTCCTGCATACCCCCACTGGGGATCAGGCCTGTAACCCCAGCATGTGCCCCTGATTGGAATTGAACCTGGGACCCCACAGTCTGCAGGCTGATGCTCTATCCACTGAGCCAAATCAGCTATGGAAAGACATATTTTCAAAATAAAAAATTTAAAAATATAAAATAAATTTTAAAAGAATGGGCTTCAGCACTGCCCTGATCTGATAGGTTGTTTCTGGAAGAAGAATTCATACAAACCTCAGTGAAAATTACCCTCCATTTTTATTCCCACAACCAGGGTCTGAAAAATGTGTGTTTAAGAACATACAGGAGGGGCGAAACCGGTTTGGCTCAGTGGTAGAGCGTCGGTCTGCGGACTGAAAGGTCCCAGGTTTGATTCCGGTTAGAGCCATGTACGTTGGTTGCGAGCACATCCCCGGTAGGGGGTGTGCAGGAGGCAGCTGGTCGATGTTTCTCTATCATCGACGTTTCTAGCTCTCTGTCTCCCTTCCTCTCTGTAAAAAATCAATAAAATATATATTTTAAAAAAAAAAGAACATACAGGAGGTAAAATCCTGAAACTAGAAAGGAAATAGGTCCCTTTACCATACTCCTCCGAGCCATACCCATTCTGTACCAACCTACAGGTACATGTGAACACACACTCGGTTTTCATCCCAGGCCTTTTAAGTTTTGACTCCTCTCCCTAGAGTGAATTGAGTAGTGCCTCTTGATAAGGGGTGTTTGTGAGAAAGAATGTTTGATATGAACTCTTTCAGCCATAGCCCAGAAAATATTCCTGAAATCACTAACCTATTAAAATAATCTCACAAAGGACCTAGGAGGATTTAGAGGTCTGTATCATAAGTAAGAATGTAACTCTGGGGCCTTAGTGTCTAAGACTGAATCCTGGCTCTGATACTAGCTGTGACCTTGGGCAGTTCACTTCACTGTTCTGTGTCTTTGAATCTTCATCTGCAAAATGTGGGATAATATCAGTACTTACCACATAAGGGTTTTCTGAGGATTGAATGAAATAATGTATAGCACAATGCTAGACATGTAGTAAGTGCTCATTAATATTAGCTATTATTTAATTCTCCTACAGTGCCTCATAGTTCTATGCCCATAGTATTCAAAGCATTTATGGAGCAAATAAAATTGACAACAATTAGTATTTATCAGTGATTTTCAACCTTTTTTTTTTATCTCATGGCACATATAAACTAAAATTACTAAAATTCTGTGGCACAATGATCTAATAAAAAATAGATATAATTTTGATTCATTCACAATGGATGGTTATTGTTGTGTTGGCTGTTGTCATTTTTTTATTTGATAATCTAAGAGAAAAGAGGTCAGTGCCCCTGACTAGTCAGGCTTGCATGTTTTAAAAATTATTGCAGCACACTGGTTGAAAATCTTTACTATATTCATTTGTCCACCTAATTTCCAGTATGAGAAAAGCTGCTGTTATAAAAGCCTATCTCCTTTTCACAACTTCATGGTTCTGCCTTTCTCTTCCAAGACCAATTTTCTGGCTCAATCTCTGTCTCCTCTCCCACTCAGTCAGACTTGCCCCTACACTAGTACCCTGTGTTGCTTTACGATTTCAGAGGTAAAAACAGAATAGTCTATTAAAGAAGTGTTTGAAAGGGGGCATTTCCCCTGCCCCACCATCATATTCCACAATTCCATCTTCTCTGTATCTAGAAGACTGCTGTAGAACAGAAAGACTACCACCTATAGGAAATACTGAATATTCATTTACACAATGTATCACTAGAATCTCTTCTCCTTGGGTAAAGGCAGCAGGTTTTTCAGGTCAGAAGTTGCTACACACCCTTCACCCTAAACTTTCTACATTCCCGGGATATTAAGTCACTGAGGCTAGGGAGGATACCTTGGGAAAATATTCCTGGTTCAGTACCAAGACATGCTTTTCCACACTGTGTATCACCTCTCTAGCTCTAATTGGCCTGCTTATCCCATTCTCTATGTTCCCATAGCACACACCCTTTAAGTAGTTGATTCCCATAGCTTTTATGGACCTAATTATAGTTTCACAGTGCTTCTGCTTTTAATATAGGACATATTAACCACTGGGTAGAAATTCTTGTTAGAATTCCATAAAGGAAGTATGTTCTTCTGGAGGGCTGATAGATTATTTCTTTCAAATTCACCTTGAATCACATATAAGAGAGAGGTGCAAGCTTTTTATGACCATCTAAGTCTCTTCTTCATCATGAAAGATGGACTGAGGGAGTTGGGTTGAAAAAGAAAATATCCACTGCTCCAAAGCAAGTCACTTCAGCTCCCCCCCAAAATTAAGTATTTTCCAATCCTTTTAGCCACCAACAATAGTTGAAGATGTGAAAACCATATTAGATATTCCATAAAATAGGACAATTCTTGCTAACAACTCTGCTACTTACTTAGAAGAGGGAGTTTCTACAACATGTCCTGTCTGAATAAGAGGAAGGGTAATGGTTAAAGATAAATTATTAGCACAATTCCAAGAGTAAAATTGGATGGGAATGAGAAGTCTTAGGTTGGAATTTTCATGGCACCTCACAGCAATTGTGGTACTAGTACATGATACTAGTGAGTTCTCACCTTCCTGGTCTGTGAGGAGCAAGCATTATTTAGATAACTGCTGGGATTCTTGGTTCTAATAGGTAATAGATATAGTAACCTCAATTCCTTCATTATCTTAGAGGCATCCAGGTGACATCCTCATCAAAATATCCAAATGGTTTGAGGTGTAAACATTGAGATACATGAGAAAGGGAGATCTGCATTCACCCATTAGGGGTATGGGAATGATAAACATATGCTCCAAATTAGAAAATAAAATCCCACGTCACATGATTTACTGTGATCTTATTTCCCTCCTCTGCCTTCACTCTACCTTAGAATGTCAGCCACCATCTCATCCCTAAACAACATGAAGGTGATATCCAAGCTATTCTCTCTTCCTTAAAAAAAACACACAAATCAACAAAATACTCGAGACAGTAGGAGACACAATGAAATCTTCATTTCTTACACACATTAGAAACGTTTTTAATTACAGTTCACCTTCTCTGAGGTTCATATCAAGTAGTAAAATGACAGAAGCACCAAAAAGATGAGTTGGAAGGAAACCCTGATAATGAGTACAAAGTGAGAGATTTTACTCAACCACTCCACTTTATGTACAAGCTGCAGGCCCATGCAGGTCCCTGAGAAAAAGTCATTCTGGCATATTCCCTGAAGAATTTCTTCTCTCCATTCCCTCCTCAGAGTGTGCCTACAATAGGCCGCTGAAAAGAGAGGTCCTTGATGAAGGATCATTAGTAAAATCCTAATGGAAAGCTAACTCATTTGGGGAGCAGCTCTTTTAATAGTAGAATTTTTTTCTTCTTAATCAGAGTTTCTCATTGGGATTAAAGACCCCAGCCACACTTACATGTTCCACATTAGTCAGAATGTTTCCTGAAGAGTAGACATAGTAAACAGTCACATCCTCTGATCAGTCAGGATATATTCTAGTAGGATTCTGGGCTTTCACCTTAGCCTCGGGAAAGCTCAGTAATGCACCTCAAGCAAATGAGCAGATCTAGAAGGTCACAGAGAGCCTAAGGTGCATGGAAGTAAGTTATTCCATAGGGAGACGAGACAGCTGACCTGAGTGGAAAAAGTGTAAATGCTATCTCTGACCCTTATGAATAGATGGTGGCTCTCTTGGTTCCAAACATAGCTGTCAATCTTAAGGAAATAAAACCTATATTACCATATAATCAAGAAAATATTCTGGTGGGTATTCAGCTATGATCCTTATTCTCTCCTTAAATTTCACAGTTGTTCTTGGCCACCCTAAACCAGTCCCCAAATACCCAGGAGATAGAATTAGACAACACTTTGCCTTGCTTCAGCATCAAATGATGGCTCCAAGTTCTCAACCCTGCTCCGAGGGTGCCGGTGGCAACAGACACAGTGGAGGTAATCCACTATGTTGTGAGTGAACAGTGAGCGCAATGGATGCAAGTACTGAAAGAAAAGGAGCATAAAACCAATGGAAATCAGGTAAGCAATAATGAGCTGCAAGGCAATCAAGGAATGGCAGTAATTCAATAGCACTTTCACTCCAAATAACTTAAAAACCAGGACCATGATCACATTCTCTACCAATCTCACACTATAGTGCAGGCCCATATGTCCCCAGTTCTGACCTTTTTCAACAAGGTCCCTGTCTGCCAACTTCAACTGCAATGCTGACCAGCAAGAGAAGTTGATGCCAGCATAGAGTACGGTAATGGAAATCAGCACCACAAGAGTGCCAACCTGGCTGAAATTTTTTTCAATGTTATTGGGCATCTGGGCACCACTCCTCCAGAATTTAACCCAAGGCTCAAAGAAGATAATCAGGAAGTTGAGCAATAAGAATGGTACAGCCTTCAATTTCAAAGTGGCTGAGAAGAGCACCAAAATCAGGAGGCGGGAAGTAATTTCCAATGTCCTCCAGATGGTGATGCAGAGAACTTCTAGTGGCCCGAGGCGAATCTTGTATTCATCGTACTTGATCTGGATAGCCAACATATTGCAGAGGGTAGCCCCATAGGTGACAGATATCAGGGAAAAGACCATTAGCACAACTGTAAGGAGAAAAAAAAGAAACAAAAAATAGGCATTAAGTCAATGTTGATGAAGCTTATATTCTAACCAGAGGTCCAGAAAGATTATAGGGAGACTTGAAGGCCCCAGTTAAGAGCAAACTCATGTATGAGCATAGCTATGTAAACAAATAGCAAACCCAGAAAGAAAATGGGAAAAAATAAATATATGTATTTTCATAATAAGGATTACATCAGTTTTTATAATCTTTTTCTGTTTCTCTATTTTCTAAATTTCCCATGATGAACATATACTGTAATATTTTGATAAACATACAAAATGAACTTTTAAAAAAGAATGGATCTCAAAACTAGCAACGAGAAATCACTAACATAAGAGGAGCACGTACAAAGATAAAGGACAGCATCTACCTGATGAAACAGGCTTCTGAGCAAACAATGAGAGAGGCAGAAAGAGCTCTTATCTGAAAAATAATCCAGTCTTAGGAGATTCACAGAGAATGCCTTTGGTTATAGAAATTCCTTCCTTGGTGTGTTTCTGCTTCAAGGAATTATCTTGTTTGTGAGTACTTCAAGAATGTGTCATGTCAAAATGTATACTGGAAATTCCATGAGGGCAGAAGTGACCATGTCTATTTTATTTACTGCTATATCCCCAGAGCTTAACACACTGCCTGAAATACAGTATGTGCTCAATAAATGTTTGTGGAACTAATGAAGAATTCTGAGTTTAGAGAGGCAGCTTAAAATACTTATGTTTAAAAGTCATTGGTTCAGCTGTGTGAAAGCTTGTGAAAGTCACTGAGTAACTATGTACCTCAGTTCTCCCAATTAACTGAGATACTCTAGAGTTACTTGTATCAATCACTATCAATGGCAATTTGCCATCCCAATGTTTTGGTATACTTTAGGAATTGCCAAACTTCTAGCAGAGTGGTTTAAAATATAAAAATTCCATTTCCTAGCCTATAACATCCATACCACTGAATGTTAGAGTAGAGGAGCCTGAAGGATTGGAATACTTCCTAATCTGCTATACTAAATCTTAACTATAGACAACACCATGGCTGCCTTTCTTTTATTCCTTTATAGCAAATAATACTGATAACTAAGAAATATCTAGTTCTCACAAGGAGAATGAAAGGGTCTGAGGGGTACTTATCCAAAAACCAAAACTACTTGAGCTTTATGTTCCCATGAAAACACTGCATCCAAGGAACTAGAGCGGTGAGATAATCTGCAAGAAAAGTGACAACATCCCCATGGACATCCTAAAGGATTTGTTTTCTACATCTTTTTTCAGCTCTAAGTAGAGTGTTGGAATCTCAAAGATTGGAATGAGAGACTTTCTTAAAGATTCTATTCTTAGCCTTATTGTTTTTATTTTTTCAACTTTTATTAAGCTATAATTGATACATAGCATTGTATTAGTTTAAGGTGTGCAACATAATTATATGATATAGTCAGCTTTCTAAACCACTCTCACTCCCATCCTTGAGACTGAATGCTCAAGAGTTGGGAACTTCAGAGTGTGCATATACCTATCCAAGTGTGGTGATGCTTTCCCTTTCATTAGAATTCACTTACTCATAGAGTAATAAAAGAATGAAAAGCTGATGCTTCCAAATAAATGTAAAAATAGCTTCAATCTTCCTTCTTACAAATAGACTCATGCAGAAAGAGATCATAATACTGTGAAAGAATTTGATCACCTATGCTAATCCAAATGCCTCCAAGAGAAAAGGGGATTAGAAACGGGGTCGCAAAAAGAAGAGGAAAACTAAACCAAAAAGTTGTTTACAAAACTTTAAAAGAGATTGTATTGTCAGAAAGTTTTTTTTTAAGCTTCCTTTATAACCTTTGAAAAAATAGTATAATATGTTATACTATGAAAAAATAGTATAATAGTATAATAGTAACAATATTTTAGAAACACAGGATCTAGCCAAAACTGGTTTGGCTCAGTGGATAGAGTGTCTGCAGACTGAAAGGTCCAGGGTTCGATTCCGGTCAAGGGCACGTACCTTGGTTGCAGGCGCATCACCAGTGGGGGGCATGCGGGAGTCAACTGATCAATATCTCTCTCTCATAGATGTTTCTAACTCTCTATCCCTCTCCTTTCTCTCTGTAAAAAACTAATAAAAATATATATATATTTTTAAAAGAAACACAGGATCTAAAGGCAGACATCCTGAATTCCAATCCAGTCTTTGCTACTTTTTACTTATGGAACCTTAGGGAATTTGCTTAACCTCTCAGTGCTTCTATTTCCACATTTATACGATGGAGATAATAACAATAATTATCTCATAGGATTGTTGTGAGGATTAAATGAAATAATTACATGTAAAGGGCTTAGACAAATGCCTGGAACATAGTAAATGCTATCTGATAGCTACTACTATCATTATCATCATCATCCCCTATTTCCAAAAATGTAGTAGGTGCATTTACTTTGGCACTACCAGGACACTTTGGAAATCAAGCAATTTTAAAACTGATAAAACACCTAGAAATAAGCCTTATAAAATTTGAATGACCTATAACAAGAAAACTATTCTTGTTATAGGACCTGCATACTTACAGCATAGATTATAGTGAGATTTCATGGAGGTATACTTGTCTCCAAACTTATCAAGTTGTACACATTAAATAGATACAGGTTTTAATTTATTAGTTGTACCTCAAATAGTGATTTAAAAATAATTAAATGAAGAAATATATCTTCTAATATGAAATTAATTGATCCTATAAAAATATAAATTCCTTCCAAAATAGCCTAAATAATTTAATGTAATCACAATAACAGGATCAATGAACTGTTATTTCTTTTACCATTGTTATTGTTTGCTTTGTTTTGTTTTTTGGTGGGGGAGTTGACAAATTGATGATGGAAAATCATCTATTTGGAAGATCAGGATAAATTGCTCTATCAGATATGAGTTGTGAAAGGCCTTTGTGAAAAAGCCACAATATCTAAAGGCAATAAAAAAATTTAAATACATAAACATTTAACCCTTCGGAATTCCAAAAGATACAAGTATAGTGTTGATCTTACACTTGTGTTGCGCATATGTGCTTCATGTTACAGGTATGACCTGTATAGTGCATATTTAAAATATGTGTATATACACAAAGACATACACATGTATACACATATACTTATCCACAGCAGATAAAAGATTAATAGCCAGAATATATAAATAATATAAATAGCTCTTATCTATATCTATAAAAGGCTAATATGTAAAGTGTCCCCTTGGAGTTTGACCAGGAGTTCGATCACTTGCTATGATGTGTGCTGATCACCAAGGGGCTGCACAGAACAAAGGATGGCCCCAGCTGGTGGCTGGAAGGAAGGCTCTGGCCAGCAGCCAGAAGACCCCGATCAGCCTTGAGTGCCAGCCAGGTCTAGAGACCCTTCCCATACACAAATTTTGTGCACCAGGCCTCTAGTAAATTAATAAAAGACAAACCACTAGAAAAAGTGACTAAAATATGTAAACAAGCAATTTAAAGAACATAATGACCAAACATGAAAAGATGTAGAGCTTCATTCATAATAAATAATGCAAATTATGCCTTAAAATAAGTTATTTTATAATTATACAACTAAATAATATTTAGCTTAAAATATAAAGAAACGGGCACATTCATATATTATTGGTGAGAATATAAATGCATCCAATCTTTTTTAGGGGGTGGTATTTGGCAATACTGATAAAATTCTAAACACAAATATCTTTTTACCCAGAAATTCTACTTCTCAGGATTTATCAAACAAAGTCTCATTCCAGTACATAGATGTTCATTGGAGCATAGTTTATAATTAGAAAAATATTTTGCATGAAAAATTAGAAACAAACTTCAATCCTACCAAAAGAAGACTGGGGAAATAAGAAAGAATGGTCCAATTCATATAAGGAAAATATATATTATATATTTATCATTTTTATTATTATATATGTATGTATAAATAATTGAAAAGAAAAACATACTGGCTCAATTTTTAAAAAGATGCTGCTTAACAGAATATTTAATACAGTTCTTTTTTGGCAAAAACATACATACATGTATATGTTGTATGTATGTTTATATTTACACTAGAGGCCTGATGCATGAAATTTGTATAAGAGTAGGCCTTCCTTTCCCCAGCTGCCAGCACTGACTTCCCTCTGGCATCTGGGACCCAGGATTCCCTCACAGCCTCTGCTTTATCTGGGAGGTCGTCCAGAAAGACATCCAGTCTAATTAGCATATTATGCTTTTATTTTTATAGATAGTAAAATTAAGTCTGGAAGGATATATACTGAATGATTAACAGATTACCTTTTAGAAGTGAAATTACATCTCTTTTATATATATTTTGTATGGTTTTGAGTCTTTACCTTATCAGATTTTTATAATTAAAAACTAAGGATAAAAATAATATTACCTTTAAAAATCCTACCTAATAAAAGAGTAATATGCAAATTACCCATCACTCCACTCCAAAAACCACGCCTACAAGATAATCAGAGTGTGTATGCAAATTAACCCCAACCATGATGGCTGTGGCCACAGAGGCTTGGGTTTCTCTGGCAACGAAAGAAGCCAAGCTTTTTGCCTGCCCTAGCTGGCCTAAGCCTCCACTCCAAGCTACAAAGTTTCAATTATAGAAAGTAAACAAATCCAAACAGAAACAGCTGCCACTGTGGAGTAAGCAGGAGGCTTGGCTCTGCTCCAGGCCACAAAATTTCAATTATAGAAAGTAAATATATCCCAGATACCAGGGCCTCCACTTGGGTCACTGGGGGGCATGGCCAGCCTGCAAACCACCACAGGCTCCTCACTCAGGCTGCCCCATGCCCCAAGGGAAACCCACCCTGATTCAGGACACCCTTCAGGGCATACTAGCTGGCCCCCACCTGTGAACCAGGCCTCTATCCTATCTAATAAAAGAGTAATATGCAAATTGACCATCACTCCAACACACAATATGGCTGCCCCCAAGTGGTCAAAGATCCTGCCCCTATATGGACACAAGATGGCCACCATAAGATGGCCAACAGGGGAGGGCAGTTGGGAGGGACCAGGCCTGCAAGGGAGGGCAGTTGTGGGTGATCAGGCAAGTAGGGGAGGGCAGTTGGGAGGCACCAGACCTGCAAGGGAGAGCAGTTGAGAGAGACCAGAGCTGCAAGGAAGGGCAGTTGAAGGCGATCAACCCTGCAGGGGAGGGCAGTTAGGGGTGATCAGGCCAGCAGAGGAGGGAAGTTGGGGACAAACAGGTTGGCAGGGGAGCAGTTAGACATCAATCAGGCTGGCAGCAGAGTAGTTAGGGGATGATCAGGCTGGCAGGCACAAGCGATTAGAGGCAATCAGGAAGGCAGGCAGGTTAGCAGTTGTGAGCCAGTAGTCCTGGATTGTGAGAGAGAGTCCTAGATTGGAGAGGGTGCAGGTTGGGCTGAGGGACAATGCCCTCCCCCCAAAAAACCACCACCCCCATGCACGAATTTTGTGCACCAGGCCTCTAGTTTTTAAATAAGGACCCAAAATAAAAAATAAAAACAAGATCATGATAACAATTTCAAATTATATAAAAAGGTATAAAGTAAAAAGTAAAAGTTGGCTGACTCATTTCCACTCCTTAGAGGTAAATTGTTTCTTGCATATCTTTCATAAATTTTTCTTTGCATATACAATTACTTGTAGGTCAATTGATTTGTGTGTGTATTACTTCTGTAACATATACATATTTTGATTAGATGATTTGATAACCCTCAAAATTCTCAGGAATTTTATCATTATCATTTCTTTAAGCATTATCATTTCTTTCTCCTCCCACTATTGTCCATTCTAGATATCTGAAAAGCTTCAAGACCAATCGAACTTCATGAACAATTCTTAATGGAGAAAAATACAAAAAAGGGAAATTTTTCTCCTTACACTTAGTTGAGACATAGAGCTTTGCCAAGTAGTGTCAGCACCTAATAATAAGAAAATGATCCAAAATTGTACCAACAGCTATAGCAGCTCCAGCCCAAGCAGATGAAGCTAATCTAAGGCTATTAAAAGTCATAAACCGTACTTTATCTCAACTTTGAAAACACTGACTCACATTTCATCCTCTGCCAAAGTTTTTACTTATTTTAGGATCTCTTTTACAAATTGGGGATTAAGACAGGGATCTCTTTGGTAACTTCCTCCAAAGATCACAGAGAAGGCCAGAAATGGGATCAGGTGTGACTCTCAGCAGTATTCATTCCACACCCCATTTCTTTCTCCCCACTGGAGTTGGGAGAAGTAATTAAATCAATGGCTTCCAAATATGGCTGATCAGACTCAACTAGCTACATTAAAAATACAGATTCCTATCTTCCTCACACTCAGATTGATTCTGGACTGAGTAGAAAATGTAATTGTAAAAAGGAACTTCATGATCAGTAACATTAGGGTACCTCTTATTTAAATATGGTCATCCCTAAAGAAACCAACCAACCAAACAAAAACTCCTCAGTATAATTTAAACACTATAGGCTAGAGAAAACGTCCTATTGACTACTGGGATTACTAGCTTCTTCTGAGAGCATTTATTACTAGCCTAGAGAGGGCTTATCTATGGCATTTTTAGTCTAAATAGCTTACATCAGTCTAAGAAATGTGGCAGGCCTGAGATGTCTGGATTCCCATGTTCTTTGACTATCTACCAGTGCTATCCAGAACTTTCTACAATGACGGAAATGTTCTGTATCATATGTGCTGTCCAATAAGTTATCACTAGCCACACATAGTTATTGAACAATTGACATATAGCTAGTATGTCTGAAAAAGTAATGTTTTATGTAATAAATATAATAGCCACAGGAAGCTGTGGGCCAGTGTATTAGACAGCTCAGCTCTAAATTTCTAAGACCCTTGATTTAAGTGGAGCCCTCCCCAATCCTGACTCTACTCACCTCTACCCAGGGGGACCTCTGCAGAGATCAGGGTCACATAGAGCTGATAGGTCAGCTGGGGCACTGAACCCAGGAAGGCTTGGATCTGTGACATACGCTTGTAGGCATTGCGGTGCATAGCCAGGGTCCGGATGGAGTGGCCCACCTCCCATTCTATCAGCACCTCTTCGCCATTTATTAGCATCTTCTTTCGGGTGAGGCTGACATAGGGCTCCTCCTGCCCCTCTTTCTTCCACAGTGTGAGGTACTTAATCATGGCCTCCAAACATCTGCAGAGGTAAAGCATCATGGAACTTAACTAAAGCTGTCCTGGAAAGGGAGGTTTTAATGGGGGATGGGGGGTAACTCAGAGAGGTTGTGCTACTTTTTGCCATTCCTTCTGTCCCATTCTACACATTTCTTGTGAGTTAAAGAGTTGGTGGTGCCTTCTGCAAGTTATTTGAATCTAAATCCTTTCTTTTCTTTTTCAGTCACTTACCCTTCAACCTAAGAACACCATTTCAGAAGTGTCTCTTTGAGGAATTAAGAAATTTCTTTGCCTCCTTAAGAATAAGCTTACAGGCAGGAAAGTGTCTTAAACATTAAGATAAGAGGTCTTGGTTGTCATAACACCTCAAGTTCCTGAGGTCAAGTCTTTCTTATTCAAAGCATTCAGCCCCATAATTGGGGCTTTTGAGTTCTGCTTTTTTCAAGACAAAACTCACAACTATGAGTGTCTCAGCCAAACACATTTTGACTGGGATCTAGAGAAAACCTCTCACATACATGGGAAAACCATTTAGCAACAAAGAGACTTAAAAGACTGACAACTCAGAACCTAATGTACTATATACCTAGGGCATCTCAAAAGATTTCTCTAAAGGTTGCTTTTGGGGCCTATGGACCTGTTTGGGAACAACAGCCTTTTAAATTCCATTATGTCTTTACAAAGAGGAAAACATACTAATGAGAGCCTATTGTCCTTGAAAATAAGACCACATTTCCTACTGTACTCCTTCCATCTCCTCCATATAAAGAAGAAGTCGTTCGCAGTTCTGATGTAATGGATTGAAGACAAGCACTAGATCATCTTGTTTTTAAACACCTGAATTACCACTTCCTCTTATTCACCCTGAAAGGAATGGAAACTGTGGACTATTTATTATAAGTAAGAGCAATTGTGAAAATTAAGCCATCTTTTCTGACAGGCTGAGGGTGGGAGGGGGGTATATTTATCTTGCCCCCCACCCTTATCACATAGTGGGTAATTGATAAATGGGTATTTGCTGAATAAGTAAAAGAGTGAGAAAAAAGTAAACAAGGTAAGAAATAATGAGAGGAGAGTATAATAATAATAGCAGCATAATTTAATTTTAAAAATTAGACCACAGACAAGCAGAGATGTATACAGTATGCTCCCTAGGCCTTTGGCTCCCAAGGGGAACATGTGCTGCCATTCTCCACAGGATCCCTTTGAGATTGGTGCTTGTATGACAGCCTGAAGCATGTAGTTTGAAACACACACTTTTTAGGGACAAACTCTAAAACCCAGGAGAGAAAAGGGAGAGAACAGAGAAGAAAAAAGCAACATTCTCTTCCTATTCAGGAAAAATGCCTAAGTGCATTTCTAACAAAAGATTTTAGATTTTAACCCAAGTCTATCAATGCTATTGCTGAATAAAATTTTGAGGGTGGCACTTGCATTAAGCATTCTCTTTTATGCTTCTAGTCTTAAGGATATTTACTAGTTCTGGTTTAAGTAAGGGTGTTTGCCTTCATTATAAGCTTCAGTAACTTAGAGTACATTTTCATTTCCAGAAGTTATCTTTGCATTTATATAAGGGAACCCAGCCCTGGTCAGTGTGGCTCAGTTGGATGAGCACTGTCCCATGCACTGAGAGGTCAAAAGTTTGATTCCCAGACAGGGCACATGCCTGGGCTTCAGGCTTGATGGCCAGTAGGGGTTGTGGAGGAGGCAGCCAATCAATGTTTCTATCTCACATTCTCTCACCTCTCTCTCTCTCTCACTCTCTCTCCTCTCTCTCTCCCTTTTTCTCTCTCCCTCCCTCCCTCCTTCCCTTCCCCTCTTTCTAAAATCAATAAAAATATTTTTTAAAGGAGCTAGGTCCTCCAAATACCTTCATTTGCCTAATAGCACTAATCAAGTTCCTATCTACCTAAAAAGTTATTTGTTTTGAAAATAAGCATATCGAGGATATAATTTATGAGCTTTTAAATTTTTTCCATGCTATAGGGCTAACCGACTGATATTGTAAATGCTTTCCAATTATTTCTGGTAGAAACTAAATGACAAAAATATAGTATTCAACACTCCATACGGTGGTGTCCAAATCAAGGCTGGCTTGGGAGACTACAAAGCAAAAAGGGGAAGTCAGAACTGGGGGCTGGTATGAACTTACTGACATTTGCATCTTGAGAGTACTTGATCTATTAACTCAACATCTTGCGTTTGAAAAGGGAGAGAAGAATGGATTCCATGCTCCTCTAGTGACATCTCCAAATTTCTTGCTTCTAAGTTGATGAGGTCTTCCTTTTACAGCTTAACTTCAAAGATTTAAAACTGAAAAGGACCTTTTTAGATTACCTAGTCCAGTGGCCGGCAAACTCATTAGTCAACAGAGCCAAATATCATCAACGGTACAATGATTGAAATTTCTTTTGAGAACCAATTTTTTTTTAACTTAAGCTATATAGGTAGGTACATTGTTATTAACTTAATTATGGTACGTGATATTTTGTGGAGAGCCACACTCAAGGAGTCAAAGAAGCGCATGTGGCTTGAGGGACGTGGTTTGCAGACCACTGACCTAGTCCAAAGGTTAGATATAGGCCAGCTAAGTCACATATGATCACTAGCTGTGATTTGTTTGGTATATATCATGTTTTTATTTTATTAGTCATGTGCCAAATTTTAAAACCATAGTATTTCATCTCAAAGTTTATTCTGGGAGCTTCTCCTGAAAAGTTGGGGGATTTGGTGATATTGGGTCTGAATTTCAACAAGGAAACAATGGGCAGGAGCTCTAGAGTCTGCTTCAAAGGAGGCAGATCATGTGGACTCCGGATTGCCACAGTCATCACTACTCTCCATAATTTAACATGGAACTGTCTTTTCATTTATCATTACACATGAAGCTACTGTTTTACTCATACATGGTCCATTTTATTAATTTATGATGCCTGCCTGACCTCTGTAAACAAACATTTGAGACCCATGATCTAGCCCATACAACTCATTTATTTTACAGATGAAGAAACTGTGGGCCAAGGCATCTTCAAAGATTTTATCAAGGCCATGCAACTAGTCAGTGATACAGTGATACAGGGCTAAATAACAGGTCTCCTGAATTCCAGGCCACTGTTTCTGTTTATATCTCATATTTGTTCTGATGGAACCTAATCAATCCCTCCCTGTTTAAACATATATTTTTAAATTTTTAAAGTGGAAGTTCCATACTTAATCAGTTTGGAACTGTGTTTAATTCCACAAGGATAAGATATCTTCCTATTGAAATTACAACATCAGCACTCTGACCTATATTCCTCAGCTGACTGTGAGTTTCTGCCTCTCTTGCAATCAAGACAAACTTGGTCCATTCCTTTCTCCTGACTTCATAAGTTTTACAACATCTCCCTATCTGGATAATCCAATAGCGTCCAGATGAGACTGCTGACGTAGATGCCTGTCTCCCTGGGATACGGCACATTCTTGTATCTTCAAGGCAATCAAATAGAAATGCTTGATGCTACTACATTGTGCTACAGCATCAAGATGGACAAATGGACCATCTTTCTTTGCCCGTTTCTAACCATGTATCTTTACTTAAAAAAGATACAGAGATAAACAGGTATTGTATGAACTGGCAGAGAAAAATGAATCACAGAGAGTTGGGGTACCAGATGACCACAGATGGCTTAAAATATCCAGCCCAAGAAATTCAGGATAAAGAAACTGAATGTGAGATGAGATGTAGAGATTAGGAACTTTCATTCAATTTATAGAGCATCTAAAAGGCAGATTCAAAATAACACACTCTTCAGTGAAGTATGGCCTATGTGCACAAGGTGACCACATCAGTTGGTCCCTAGCAATTTTCCCAACCCAAATCCAGATAGCAAATTTTGTCTAATTTAGGTGTATCAATGGTACCATACATAATTTTGGAACACAGGTACATGTCACATGTTCATTTTGGTGGCATTTAAGACTTCAGATACTATTTTTTTGATAGTAGGCAGCGAAGCCAAGAGTGGGAGGAAATGAGAGAATCAGTTGGAGGCACAGTATCAGTCTCGTAAACATTAACTTCATCTTTCTCTGCACAAATTTGGGGTAGTGGTGGTGGTGTGGGGGAAGAGGGGAGATGGGAAGAGATTAAAATGTTACTCACCTGATAACAGGTCCCAAAAGTATTAGATGCATAAACAATGACAACGGCTTGTCTTTGGCCAGATCTCTGTGGACAAAAATGAGTGTCAACTGGACCATAATGGATGAAAACATAAAGAAGGAAAGGGTGTATGCCATCCAGTAGGTTTCACTATTCTTTCGATAGATTCTAACCATGTACAAGGCAGATGCAGCCTCCCCACAGTACAGAAAGGTGGAGAAAAGGATGCCAAATGGAAAGGTAAATCGGGGGTTGGCCCCACGGATGACATCTTCTTCCAGAGATGAAATTGGATCCACATTTGGCTCCTCAGGCATTTCATAAACTCGGTCCATTGTCAAGGTGCTGAGCGTTTTGGTCTGGTCTTCAGAGAGAACCCTTCCCAAACCCCCTCAGAGAACCCTGAAGCCACTGCAGTCCAGGTGTTGGCGAGAAGAGCTGTCAAGTCCAATTCCAGAACGGAGATCTAATGGAGCAGGAGACCCCTCTCTTGTAGTCTCAAATTAGACTTGAGGTCTGGGAGGGAGAGCCCAGGAGTACCACTTTGAACTTGATTCTCGATTGGCTCAGGATTCCAATTGTCAACATATGAGCTCCGAAACTTGGACAAGGCAAAAGCAGGCATTTTTGTGCCCGATTCAAAATCCAGTTCCAGGCAGTTGAAGGGCCATGAGGACAGCTGTTTCCGTGTGGGCTCCTCCTTTCTCAGTCACACCCCCCACCTCATACCCCCACATCCCCGCCTCAGGCAGGAGGATAGCCACTCTGTTGAGTACTGGCATTCAGCAGCTCTTCTCAAGGAGTCCTGTCCAGTGTGCCCTCTCAAACCAGCCAAGAACTGAGCCAGGGTAGAAGAGGGGACATAGCCTGAGTGGCTCTTAGCTTGCCTTCTCGCCGAGTTCTCTCTCAGAACCCACGCTTAGTCTAAGGTTCTCAGGATGGCTTCTTAGAATCCGCAAGCTCCGCCCCTAAGGCGGGGGGGGGGAGGGGGGGGACTGGGTCGGAGCGAGGCCACAACCCTGTCACTGAGCGCCGTCTTCGGGAAGAGAAGCTGAGCGCGCACGCGCTGCAGGATTAAGAGAAAGCTGGAGGGGCTTCTTTCCCACGAAAAAAGTTTGCTTGCGTGAAGCACGACGTGTGGGGCGCCAACCTGGCCGGGCAGATGTCGCCAAACTTGAGTGCCATCCGCTGCCAGATGCTGCAGGGGTCCTAGTTCAGCAGTGAGAGGACGGTGGCTTCTGGAACTAAGGCACTGATGACTGGGGCTGGCTAAAAAGGAGGAAAACTGGGGCCAAACAAAGCCGGCTTGAGAGTTCCAGGGCGGGATGGAGAGGCGCGACAAAAAGGGGCTTGGATCAATCTTCAGTAACACTTCTCGCCAGGACTCCGGACCCCAACGGGAGCCACAGCTACTGTCTTCCCAGAAGCAGCAGACTTCTATCGCTGTAGAAGCCTGCTTCTACTCCGCCCTCCCTAACTAGCTTGCTCCCACACTTGCTCTACCCACGCTTGGGCAGGTGTGTCTCTCTGGGTTTCAGGGTTGGACCTCCCTAGGTCCTATTGCCCTCCAGATAATGCCACTGTGCGGTTGAGGGAAGACCTGGGAGGCAATTGGGCCATAGTTGTTTCTTTTCAAGGCAAGATTCTATGCAGCAGAGGGAAGACAGAAAATGATAGGGGGAGGTCAGGACTCCAGGTTAGCCCACAGACACTGAAAGCTCATATTACATGCCTTGATTTCTCCACTTGCAAAATGAGGCCAGTATAGGAACTTTAGAATGAATTTACAGGTTTGGGGCTGGAATGTTCTGAAGAGGTGCCAAAAACTAAATAAACTGGAGAGGAGCCAAGAGAGCTGTTAATAAAAACTAAGAGGGGTGTCTTTAAAAAACCCTGAAAATAGCCTGGATTCTTAAGAGCAATACTTCCCCACCTCACTGAGCTTTTGTTTTCACGCCTTCTTTTGCATAATTCTAAACCAGAGAAACATCTGTATCCTGGTAGTAATATAAATGTAGCAGTGCCTGTGCCGATCTGATTTTGCTGCAGGAAGTTAGTAAAAAGAATCTATGTGAGGAGTGGCCAAGTAGCAGCCACCAAAATAATGAAAGACTTAGTCTTGTTTTCGTGTTAGTTGTTAAAATCCCTGCAATTGCCGCCTCCTTCTCCAAGGGCTGATTCATAGGCAGATCAACTGATAAAGTGTGTTGTCTTTGAAACAGTTGCCACATCTTGGTCCGCACCTGTGCCACCAGCTGGGCTAGCAGGCTGATCTTTCCTCTTTTCTGTTTCACAATGTGGTTTTAACACTATCTGAGAACATCTCACACATAGTGTTGATTATTTGGGACTTTCCAACTGGCATAGGTTCTCCACCAACAGTATATGATGCAGAACTTCTTGGGGGCTTTTTAGGAACCTGTTCTCAAGATGGAATTCAAGTAAGGTGACAAACTCATCTCATGTCTGTTGAGATAGGATGAGTTAGTCACTCTACCACTGGGGACTGAAGCTAGGGAAATTGTGGAATCCCAGTATTTTTTCCTTTAGCCTGTTCTCCTTCCCTATGTCTTCATCACTCCCCAAATACATAAATCTACAAGGGCTTCCTCCTTTGTTTCAAACCAAGCCTTTTGTCTGCCATCCAAGACTCTTTATAATCACCACACTACTACTTCCCTCTCCAAGTTTATTGCTCACTTTACCCACACCCTTTGCTCTAGTCCAGTAGTTTGTATCACTTAATCATACCTACCTTGTTCACTCCAACCTCTGTGCCTTATTAAGGTCATTTACACACCTCTTCACTCTTTTTTCTATAGTCCAAACCCGACCCTTCCTTTAAGGGTCAGCTCAAGTACAGGCATACTTTGTTTTGTTGTCCTTCACTTCATTGTGCTTGAAGGCAAGACCCTCCACCAGCAAAAATATTACACGTCACTTTACTGCAGTGGTCTGAAACTGAACCCACAAAATCTCCAAGATATGCCAAGAAGTACTACTCCTCCAGCGGAAGCTTTCTCTCACTTCCCAACCTTCACTTTTCCCTCTGTCTTTTTGCTACTTGCACATGCTATCTTGTACTAGTTCTTCAACAATTTCGGTGTTTGCCCTGTCTCTCCAACAAATATATACTCAGGGAGAGATGCTCAATTCATGTTTACTGTAGTTCTTGTTGATAACAATAGTGATTGGCAAATAGTGATGATAATGAAACTTCCTCCCCCATGCTTCCTCTAGGAAACCATGCTAGACTCAGGCACACTCATCTCTAAAAGATATAGCCACCGTAGCCAGGGCATAACATCCCTTGGTACACACACTGTCTAAGGCAGCCATTCAGCTCACAGATGATGCCAACCTACATGATCTGTCCTCAAAGTTCCTACAGTGCTTTTTTGTCGATACCACAGTTATGCACCAAATTATAAATTATTTCAAGTACATTAATTTTTACCCCACAACTAAATTATAATATGTTCCTTAAAGGCAGAGTCCCCGCTGTTACACTTTTTCTGGATTCCCCCGTGGCTGGTATAGACCTGTAAATTCCCTGCCATCTGATCCCCCTCACCCGCCTGCTTCTCTATTTTCAGCCCCAGGACTCTCTGGCGCTTTAGGTCACTAAATCCTCTGGTCTCTTATTTCCCTGTTCCGTTGCTCTGCTGGGAGAAACTGAGAATTCGCCGTATCTGTCCAACTTTCTTTTCTCTTTCTAGCAATCTCCAGACTTCAACCCTTTACTCTTCATAGGACAAGACTGGAAATGTTGACAGTCAGGAAACTGCTGAGGCCCTGTGAACGCCTTCCTCATTAAAAGTACTGATCTTCCAAGGACTGGTCAATGAGATGGTACCTCTAGGCTACCTGTCCCCTGACTGCTAAGTAGTGTTTGGGGGTCAATTTCCTCTTCATGCAGAACCAAAGTTCTGTAGGAAAGGGTTACTCAAATTTGACTCCTCACCCACCCCTATTTTCAACTTCCAACTCAGCAGGAGCAAAAAATGGGTCTAAAAGCTCTTGACATCTTTATCAGGATTCAGAACCCCTTTGAATCATCTTCCCTTGGGGATAGGTTTGAGCTTTCCAAATCACTGCAACCAGAGCTGATTTATAAGAGGTAGCTGGCAATCCCAAGGGAAGAGGACAGAGAGAGATGTGCAGCAAGTGGCTATATTCCAGTCACAGAATACTAATTGATAAAAAGTGATGTGCAAGTCCTGGAGAATCAGTAGCTAGGATGGAAGAATGGATTTCTTCTGTAGAATTATGAGTTTGGACTGTTAGAATTTTTAAAAGATACCCAATGCAAAATCATTCATGTATGTTCTGGGCCTTCTCTTTTCCCTGTAAGCTCCCTGAGGACAGATTTCTGCCTATCCTGTTCTAAGCCACTTCCTCATCAGTATCCTCCATAGATGGAATCTGGGCCTGGAGTCAAAACACAAGGGAGTTCCCTGAAGCCCTCACCCCTAGAATTTTTATTTTTAAAAATATGTTAAAATGATCGTCTCAGTTAGCATTGAAGGCAAAGAAATACTACCACAAAATGCAGCATGGAATCAAGGGGTGAAGGATTTTTCCAGGCATTTCTGATGGAGGGAAGGATTGAGAAAGGGGGGTTATTTATTTAAGAGAAATGATTTATTCTTTAAATAATGGCTGTATTGTGATATAATTTATAGACCACACTATTTGCTTATTATAGTATACAATTCAGTGGTTTTAGTACAATGTTGTGCAGGCATTACCACTACCTAGTTCCAGAATATTTTCATCACCTCAAAAAGAAACCCAATACCCATTAAGTTTTCACTCGCCATTACTCCTTCCCCCCCACCCCCCTCCCCGATCCTCAGCCTAGAAAAATCACTAATCCACTTTCTATCTCTATGGAATTTTTCTATTCTGAACAGTCCATATAAATGTGATAAATATAATATATGGCCTTTTGTGTGTCTGGCTCCTTTTACTTATCATAATGTTATCAAAGTTTATCCATGCTGTAGCATATGTCAGTACTTCATTTCTTTTTATGGTGAATAATATTCCATTGCATGGATATAACACATTTTATTTATCTATTAATCTGTTGGTGGAATAAGGGTTTGTATTAGAGAAATAGAATGGGGAGGGGAAGGGAGAGAGAGAGATTTAAGGAATTAGTTCACACAATTTATGGGGCCTGGTTTGTAGACATGCCAGCAGGCTATAAATTCAGGAAAGAGAGGATGCAGTCTTGAGTACAAAAGCTGGAAACAGGCAGAATTTTTATGTTGCAGTCTGGAAGCAGAATTCCTTCTTTTTCAGGGGGGCCTCAATCTTTGCTCCTAAT